CTCTGCGATCCCATATGGTGTTTTTTATTTACATCGGATTTCCACATTCTGCTGTGACAATTTCACCTTTGTCAATGTGCTATGAGATGGGAAACTCAACCGCGTAACACTTAAGTTTACTGCCTAGCTGCTTTGGGTTTCACTCAGTTCTTCTTATGCGTGTAGACCATTGACCGCTGAGGAGGACTATTCGTATGGCAGCTCGATTGCTTTTCCTCCTCCCATTGGTATCCCTATCGATCCTGACTTCTACACCTCACCGTATGTGTTGTAGAGTTTGTAATATATTAGGTTTCGTTAGGATGTGATTTTGCTTCAATCTCCATTTTGCAAGTGATGTTGTTTTAATACTCTCTTTAATTGTGTTATGAACCACTTAGACGCTGGATGCCTGAAGTGTTGTAACTATTCCCATGCGGCATGACGTTTGGGCCATGCTATTAGCCTCCAAACTCTACCATGCTGCTTAATTGTCGCAACTCCTTGGACGATTCAGAGTGCCAAAGTGATGGTAGCGGCGAGCAGACCCGTTCTACAACATCAACCATCTTGATTTCTGCCAGTAAGTAATAAACCTTGATATGGCAGAAGGAGGACATCTGAGGCGAATGGGTGATTCTATTAGAACTACCGGTAGAAGAGCTATTAGCCTTTACCAATTACTCGAATCTCTTATTATGCAAAAAACCCATTAGCAATTAAAGAGGCATTAGACTTGAATGATTAGGAAAGGTCAGTTGTGGAGTGCTCTACAGCACCTTTGTGACTATGCTAATTACATGGAGAAGGGGTACCTCCTTCAGGTCCCTACTAGCTGCATAAATCCAGATGAATGGCTGGACAAAACCGACACGAGAACAATATTGCAAGGAGGAAGAGAAGTGATACGCTAGACCCGTGAAGCTATTTTAATTCTTATCTTTTATTAAATGGCTCTGCTTTTAGCCTAGTGTTTGGCATTCGAGACGCCCTCGCTGTAGAGTTGTCCGGTCTTGAAAAGTATGAAGCCAGTTCATTTCTATTTCCCAATCCAGCTCATAATTAGTACCAAATGTCAGATACAATGCAAGTGCCGAGTTGCATTAACCATGTTGGGATCAAATGCCTTCTCACATGCAAGAAAATTGGATTACTGGCTTTCGTGGTTCTGGATTGTTTTTTAGAGTACTGACTACGTTGCAACTGCCACCAACACGGGAGGTTGGTAATGAGCAGCGTCGGAAATACCGCTCAAAAAACGCAATAAGCTGTATAGCAATTTGACATTTGCTTAGCCGTCTGCTGAACTACGCGGACACTAGTCTCTGTTGACTCTACTACCACTGCAGGTTATATTACATGGCCTTTTCGCCTTGCTGATAACCTATCAGCTCTCCTAAACGTTCCTTATACATGGTTTGCCATGCTACTTAGCCATATTAAACTTCAGAGGGGATCCGGGGCGCTACAGATGTGCATGTAGAGCACTCTTCTTTCCAAGCTTTGTTTCTAGAAGGGGCTATAAATGAACTACACGGATTTCCTTGTCTCTTATTTGGTGTTAGGACAAGTCCAGGTGTTTCAGGGTCTGCAGGCCTGAAGTAAACTACTTAGAAGTGAATGAAAACTTTAGTAGCAGCTGCAACCCCACTTTAGTACAGTGTTCAATTTTTCAAATCGTGAAATGAACAGTGTGTCTGTGTTTGAATCTATTCAAACT